GAGTGGAGAGGGAATGGGGATTTTGCAGTATCATGGCCCTGGAGTGGAGAGGGAATGGGGATTTTGCAGTATCCTTCCCCTGGAGTGGAGAGGGAATGGGGATTTTGCAGTATCCTTCCCCTGGAGTGGAGAGGGAATGGGGATTTTGCAGTATCCTTCCCCTGGAGTGGAGAGGGAATGGGGATTTTGCAGTATCCTTCCCCTGGAGTGGGGAGGGAATGGGGATTTTGCAGTATCCTTCCCCTGGAGTGTGGAGGGAATGGGGATTTTGCAGTATCCTTCCCTTGGAGTGTGGAGGGAATGGGGATTTTGCAGTATCCTTCCCCTGGAGTGGGGAGGGAATGGGGATTTTGCAGTATCCTTCCCCTGCCACTCCCACCAAGCCACACCAAGCCCACAAGCCACGCCTACAGAACCAGTAGTAAAAAAATTTGAATCCCACCGCTGCTGAAGACCCTCCTGACCTTGGGAGAAAGAGCTGACACTGCGGCCCAGATTGTGAGTGCTGTCAAAAGAGGCTAAACCAGGATTGTTTTTTTCTCCAGCATGATTCCCTTCACAGGAAGTATGTTCGATTTAGTTTGACCTTCCGTGCCTGTTTCTCCCAGGTGAGCTTCTCCTGGGTTACAAGCGTAAACAATGTTGTCCAAAAAAGGGCATTTAGAGGCAGCCTTGGAATGCAGAAGCTTCTCTGGGTTCACCTCATTTGAGGTGGGAGTCAAAAGGAATTATCATAGGTGGGGGCGACTTTATTTAGCACCTCAGCCAGGGTGGGTCTCTTTTGCTTAACAGAGCCTGCAGGAAACACAGCCTAAAGCAGAAGCTGAAGGAGAATCCATCTGGAAGGACACCAATTAGGAATGTTCTATATACTGGGAGATTTGGGGGTAGCCTGGTGGAAGTAAGGTGGTTCCAAAGGAGAACGAAATGATTGTGTTTTGAAAATTTTGGGAACACAACATAGATTACCAGAGGTGGTATTCAGCCAGTTCAGACCAGTTCTGATGAACCGGTAGCAGAAACTTTGAGTAGTTCAGAGAACTGGCAAATAGCACCTCTGGCTGGCCCTGCCCCCATCTATTCTCTGCCTCCCGAGTCCCAGCTGGCTGGGAGGGAATGGGGATTTTTCAGTATCCTTCTCCTAGAGTACGGAGGGAATGGAGATTTTGCCATATCCTTTCCCTGGAGTGCAGAGGGAATGGAGATTTTGCAGTATCCTTCCCCTGGAGTACAGAGAGAATGGAGATTTCACAGTATCCTTCCCCTGGCTGGCCATGCCCTCTCGCCTCCACCGTTCCCTGTCCTATATTCCTTTGTTTTTTAGCTCAGCTGATCAGCTCCCTCTCTCGTAGAACTGGTAGGAGAAGATTTGGAATCCCACTGCTGTAGATTACTATCACCTGGTAGCTTGGGCTAGCTTGGCTTCTGTCAGAGTCAAGATGGCTACTGTCAAAAATGTCAAGATGGCTACTGTGACCAGATGGTGAAGGCCATCACCTTAGATTCCACGTCTCCTGTGGACATCACCGAGCCGTCATGAAAAATGGGGAGATCTTTCCATTTCTCTGATCTTCTCCAGCCAAGCAATACCATCTTTGGGCAGGTGAAGCATTGCTATCAAGTGGTCTCTCAACTCCAGTCGTGGCTCTCTCTTGGTCCTTCTCCTGTAGCCCCGCATCCCCCAGAGGTGAAATCTGATTTTGTGTCATAAATTGCCTCAGAGGAGTAGATTGGTCCACCTCAGGAAGGTCCATTTCTATCTTTTTTTCCCCCCTGCAGGTGCCTAGATTACGAAAAGATACCAACTTTCCTTAATGAGTCGAATTGATTACAAGTAATTTGTGTTCGAATCCTTCAAAGTTCTTGAGAGATATGTAGATAATTGGGTCAATTTACCATCACAATTGGGGAGCAGAATTCTCCTTGCTAAGCAAAATGGTTGCTAAGGGAGGGTTTGCCTGATCTTGGGGCCTTTTCTGCCCTGGTTGTTAAGCAGATCACCCCGGTCATTAAATGAATCGTGCAGTTGTTAGGTAAATCCAGCTTGCCCCGTTGATTTGCTGATGGGAAGCTGATCATAAGCTTGTGACCCTGTGACTCTGCAACCAATGTAAACACATGCCAGTTTCCAAGTTCCCAAATTTTGATCACAAGATCCTGGGGATGCCACGACAGTCGTAAGTGCAAGGAGAGGTTGTGAGTCATTTTTTTTTCAGTGACATTGTAACTGTGAATAGTCCCTCACTGAACGGCGGTAAATTGAGGACTACCTGCCGATATAAAATCTTTCTCGCAATTTTCTGACCTCATTTTTTACAGACTGAGAATTTTCTCCTAAAGATGTTCAACCGACGCTTGAAACCCAGTGGCAATTCGATCATTTCCCCGTTGGGGGTGTGTGGGGCATTTCATTAATATTACATTTTAATTATATCAGCTTTTCTTCAGCAGATTGGGAGAATTTGGTTTTGCACCACAGATTCTTCTCCTGGTGAAATTTCACGCTAACTGCTCCATAGGTACGAATAAGTGCAAATAATAAATAATAATAAATAAATAATAAATAAATAAATAAATAAAATAATACATAATACATAAATAAACAGCACACAGGCACCTAAAGGAACAAAACAGTTGTGTAGATGGGACATTAACATTCTTTTGTGCTGCAATTCACTATGACGGGGGGTGGGATGGATCCAGGCGGATCTACAGACGCTAATTCCTGTCTCTCTCGATTAAATCGTGACAAATAAATCGTGATGTGACAAGACATCCAGCAAATTTTCTTTAAAAATACATATTTGTCCGTGAGTTGGGCAGGAGTGGGGAAAATGGGATGTAAGATTGGAATTTTCTGTGTACAAAATTGCAAAGTGGTTAAAGAACAAAAAGAAAAGGACAGAGGAATCCTAAGATAGAAGTCCTTTTAGGAACAAGGAAGCCAAAAATAGAAGATTTAGACATGAAGGGTCACTCTCTTTCGGTGTGGGATCAGGTCAGAGGTGAAATTCAGTGGGTTCTGACCAGTTCTGGAGAACAGGTAGCGGAAATTTTGAGTAGTTCGGAGAACTGGCAAATACCACCTCTGGCTGGCCATGCCCCCATCTATTCTCTGACTTCTGAGTCCCAGCAGATCAGGAGAAAATGGGGATTTTGCAGTATCCTTCCCCTGGAGTGGGGAGGGAATGGGGATTTTATAGTATCCTTCTCCTGCCACGCCCACCAAGCCACACCCCTCAAGCCATGCCATGCCCACCAAGCCGCACCCACATAACTGGTAGTAAAAAAAATTGAATCCCACCACTGGATCAGGTGGGTGGAGGAATCCCACCTCCAGGTAAGCATCATCCTAAAAAAATTCCTCTGATGGTACTTCGTTTCCATGGGGGTCTATCACTGCTTGAAGCCCAGGGGGGCACCAACAACAGTTGGCCAGCATCCCAGAGCTTGGTTCCCTTTCAGCTCTGCACTCATTCTGTTAATCATTCCATACACGTAGTCCTCGACTTACAACAGTTTGTGGAGTGACCATTCAAAGTTACAACGGCACCGGGAGAAAAAATGACCTACGATTATTTTTTACAATTACGGCCATTGCAGTATTCCCCGTGATCAAAATTCGGAAGCTTGGCAACTGGTTTGTACTTATGACATTTGCATAGTCCCATTTTGTGACCTTCTGACCAGCAAAGTCAAGCCAGATTCATTTAGCAACCATGTTACTGCAGTGATTCTCTTAATAACTGAGGCAAGAAGAGTTGTAAATGAGGCAAAACTCAGCAATAGCCCTTAGACTTATATACCGCTTCACAGTGCTTTCCAGCCCTCTCTAAGCAGATTACAGAGTCAGCCTCTCGCCCCCAACAATCTGGGTCCTCATTTTACCCACCTCGGAAGGACAGAAGGCTGAGTCAACCTTGAGCCCGGTGAGATTCGAACTGCCAAATTGCAGGCAGCCGGCAGAAGTAGCCTGCAGTCCTGCACTCTAACCACTGCGCCACCACAGCTCATATGTCTCATTGACAACATAAATTTTGGGCTCCATTGTCGTCGTAAGTTGAGGACTATCTGTAGAGGCTTTCTAGGCAGATGGGACCCCCTTGGGATTTCCTAGCAAGATAGGACCACCACGCGTGGCATGCTCATAAACACATCAGAAGCTTCATTTGCAAGAAAGAAAAATCTTGGATCGGCTGCAACCTCCTCTGTTGAGTTTTGCTGGCCTCCTGAGGTCTGTGTTCTGGCTCTGGTTTGGTCCACCGGGACCTAAGCACTGCTTCCTTGGTAACCAGACAAGCTAACACCGTCTTTAGAGGAGCACAGAGATGACATCAGAGAAGGTAAGCAAAGGCCATCAGCAAAACATCTCAATTCGGGAAAGCCTGAGAAGGAAACTCAAAATTGTTCTACATTGACTCTCGTAAACCAAAGGTAGATTGGATTGAAGGAGAATCAATCCCTATTGGAGGAGGATAACTGGTTCCTTATCCACCAGTAAGTTTCCATAGATGAGGATAGACTGGGAGGAAGAGGAGGAGGAGGAGGAGGAGGAGGAGGAGGAGGTGGTGGTGGTGTCCCCAGTGATGGTCCAACTCTTTCACCAAAGCCCCATACTTGGTCTCTTGAACTTTACTTATTTATGAAATAAGTATGGCTTCCCAACTCAGAGGCAACTCCAACTTACAACATTAAAAATCCGCAGCATAAAAGCCCATCAACCTAGCCACTTACTCCATGGCAGCCACACCCCAATAGAATCAACCTCTTGATCAGGTCCGTCTCCATTCGTGGCCCCCAGGCCTGCTGACAAAACCATGTTTTCGTGGCCTTTGGAAAAGCAACACGGTGGGAGCCAATCTCGCCTCAAGGGGAAGAATGGTCCATGGAGAAGGAACCACCCCTGAGAAGGCATTTTTTCCGTGTCCCCAACAGATGGACATCCCCAATCCATGGGACCCTCTACATCTCCCACCTTGCCACCCTGGTGGGCCAGGTGGATGTAAATAGAGAGAGGTGATCCTTCAAATACAACTTATTTAGTTATCAAGAGGCCTACAGGAATTACGGTGTGGTGAAAAGCATCATGATGGCCACATCAATATGATCAAAGCTGGAGACAATTTTTTTAATATCCATCACACACGTGCCAGACCCGAGATCAAGAACAGACGAAGCTTCCGTCTCACCTGGCAATCCCCATCTTCACTATGTTCACCCCATATTATATTGTTATTATACTGGCATCCTTCAGTCTCCAAAGACTATTGTCAGCGTTCCAAATACCATGTAGAATTAAATCAGAGTCGAAGGCAAAACTATGCTTAAAGTTCCAATTTAATAAAGCAGGCATGTTGGCNAGTAACTCATTATATAAGCATCCCACTTCCTTGCCTACTGGAAAATGTCAAGTGCAGTTTCCTATTCAGTGCAGAAATCCAAATTAAAATATTTCAGAGAAATGGCTGTCCAGCCTTGTCAACTGACATCATAGCTCCCACTCTTTGTTTAGAAGGACCCACAGCTACAGCCTAGAAATTAATGACCAGAGGATGACATAAAAGAAATCTAAGATCAAGGATATGGAATGCTTATATAATGAGTTACTAGATGAAGACTCTCTAGCCTATAAGTTGGGTGTTATACAAATGCTCTCCCATCCAAGTCCTCATTCTCATCTATGTCTTTTCCACTGACACAATCCCCTAAATAAGGAAAAGTATATGCTTTGCTTACACACATATCACAAATATTCAATGTACAATAACAATATTCATGAGAGTTAATTAGTCCAGTTAAAATTTCAAAATTTATCTGATCACATAATTAAAGATAATTTTAATGCAAGGGGCTTTGGGTTAAAGATTCTGGCATTTCTTAAGTGATGGAAATGTGAAATACTGAAAACAGGCTCTCCTTTAATGACTCCTGATGATCTTATATATTAATTGGGAGTTCATTTTCAATGTGTGGATCTTTGGACACTTAAAAGAGTACAACCCAAACATAAGGAGGAAATAGTATTGGCTTGGGATAATACAACTATTTTCAGAACTACTGAACAGCTACAGTGAATAAATCCTAAACTGGGGTGGATAGAAATTGAACATGTGCAGAAATTAGTATATCAGACTGCTAGGAGAAAATAATAAATGAAATAAAGCCTTCTGGATTTAAAAAAAAAACCTCCAGAATCCACTCAAGAACTTTGTGGCAACCACTGAAGAAGTTGATTAAAGGCAATAGTTTTCCAGCCAACCTTTTATTGGAAAAGGAAATTAGAAGAACAGCCATGCCAATTTCTACTAAGAGCTTTCTTCAAAATAGCATTTTAATGACAATATTATTCAAACACCAAAGACAGCCACTAGGTTGTTTCTTTTAAAATAGTTGGCACTAGCTAAATGGCATATCCATCTAAAAACAATGAAATAAACTGAGGAAATATAACCTACTTGCCATTGTTGGGTTAATGACTAATTATATTTTTCCCTCTGCCATCATATGAAAACTTTCACTTGGGAAGATGATTGTGGAGACTAATACTGTGAATTTTAAAAGAACAAGGAAGGTATTGCTAACCTTATTGGTTATGGTTTGCAGGCAGAAGAAACAAGTCTATTTCTTCCACAAAGTAACTTTTTTTAAATCATGGCAAAGCAATTCTAGAAGTTATTAAAGTAGTACATCTGCTTGATTATCCCACTGTTAAATATTTTCCAGCAAATTCAGAAGGAACCTGCCTCCCTACTTAGAGCCCAGCCCTTGCTCTGTTTCATCAATACCTGAGCCAAGAACCCCAATTTATTCATATAGCAGCAATTAATCAGATGAGAAAGAAGGAGCCTAGTTCATGTTTAGGCTGAGGGCTAAGGTATCTTTATACATTGGTGGAAGAGAATGTTGAACAGCTTATCATTCAGGATTGGAAGAAGCTTTTTTTAAAAAAAATCTATATAGTAGAAAAAAGTACAGTACAGCATCCTTATCCCTCTCTTCCACTTTCCATCCAGTTCCGGAAGCTGTTTAAGACACTATAGTACATTTGCAATAACGTATTGATCATGGGAAGAGAAGTAGGAAAGTGGAAGATAAACCATCGTAATTAACAGCCTTTTAAAGCAGACCTATGCAGAGAGAGAGCCACACCTAACTGTATCAGTCAAGCTGGGAATTGATTTCCTCAGTATTTCTAAACTAGGGTTCAATAGATGAAGCATTGTAGACCATCCTCTATGACACATAAATGAGAGGGAAGAAATGTATTCCCAAATCAGATTTTTTTAATCATTCCAATCTTTCACCTCCTATTTCTGCTTCCAAAAATTTTAAATGCAGAGTGGTTATTTTGTGTTGTATAATTAAATGTGCTTTTTAACTGTGTTTTAACATCTCTAGATGCTAACTTAATCCAATGTCAACAATTCTTTTGGTCGAAGCTATCTAATTTTTTTTTATGGAGCCAACCTGAAGTATCTGAATAACTTCACATCTTCAAAATAACATCCCCCCCCCAACAAATAAACATGACTTCTAACATGGTCCAGATTCTGAGAATTTCATTTGAAATCTGCAAGTCTCACCATGCACAAGAATGGATACTTAGAAAATAAGGATAGAAAGGAGAAGAAAGGCCAGTAAGAGATTAACCTAAATCCACCAAGATCAGACATTCTTGGTATTATGATTCAAGAGTATTCCAAGCTGCTCTTACACTGCAGAAGTGTTTAAATGCCATAAAGCAAATCAAGAAATCACGGTGGTCATACTGGATCAAAGGGGGGGGAGAGAAATAGGACATCAGCAGATTGTTTTCACTTTTTAATGAAATTGCTCTTAGCTATGATTCTGGAGAGCATTCCGGATAGTTTCCGTCTGCAAGAGATGAGAAGTCTGAAAGGGAGACCTGAAAGAGGGTCTCCCCAACCTTGACACCTCCTCTTCTCGCTTTTCTCTTCTTCTCCGAGGATCTCACCACAGCCTCTGCAAAGACTTCCCAGGTCTGCATAGCGCCAAAATCTCGGTGCTAAAGGAGGGGGAAGCCCTTGAGAAACCGGGTTGGGGAAAGTGGAAAGAGGCTCGGGAAGAGGTCTCCACGAAAAAGGGGGGGGCGCCAAGAGCCAGCTGCAACCAGGCTGTGAGCGCAGCCCTCCCAACGCCTGCTCCGGGGCACAAAAAAACCGATTCGGGTGGTTTTGGTTTTCCAACCCAACCCGGAGCAAGAAGCCTACCCAAAAGGCACCTGCAAGCCGCTCCCGCCCTCGGTTCGGCTACGTTTCGCGGGTTTCTCCCTCCGAGACGTTTCGGGCACTTTCTTCTGCAGGACTTTGAGGCGATGCCTGGCAATGGGAAGCTTTGCCAGCCAAAGGCAGCATCACTTCAGCCCAAAGCTCGCCGCGTCCCCACCTCGCTCGGAGCCAGCCTGGGCCAGCCTCTCCCCCCTCCCCCCCCAAAAAAAACGCCCGGAGGAGCCCATGAGTGCAGCCCCGCATTGGAGAATCCCCCTCGCCAGCTTCGGGTTTCGCTCTACGGGTCCTCGCTCCCCATCCCCGCCGAGCCGCCCTCGCACCCCCGCTGCTTCCTCCTTACCGTTGGACCTCCGCACGATATTCTCCAGGAAGGTGTTCTGTGGAGCCACCAGCCCTCTCCTTCCCCCAGCCATAGTCAAGCGCGCTAGCTAACCGGGGTCGGCGAAGCTGCTAAGCGTAGCCTCTCCACTCTTCTTCCCGCTCAGCGCTCCTCATGGTCCCCACCGGGAAAGGCGGGCGGCTTTGCAGCATCAGCTCCTCTTGCTCGCCCAGCAGTCAGCAACCCTCCCTTGCGCTGCATTCTTGCCGCTCCGCGCCACCGGGGCTGGACCTGTCCGGCAGCGCCCTCTGCTGTTCCGCGGCCACCCCACTGAATATGCTCGGGCTGGACCGGAGCCGCGAAGGGCCACTCTGCACAGTGGCCGGTGGGATTCTGTGGACCGAGGCGCCTGCGGAAAACCTGTGAGCTGCAGCGCCCTCCTTGGGATGCCGAAATCCGAAGCGCCCGAGATTACGGGACGGGAATGGAAACGTTGCTTCCCTACCGCTGCACTTCCAGGCTGATCTTGGGCTCCACACGCATTGCTACCCAGTGTTTACTTCAATCCCTCCTCAAGAATACTTGCACTTACTTCTAGTATCCCTTTGATTTGGACAAGGTTGCTTCAAGACATAATTGCTCACATACGAATTAAGCACAAAGGCCTGCCCTTTAAAGCAGCCTTGAACATGTGGTTTCCTCTCCAAATCCCTCCATCCTCGCTTCTGCAGATCTTGTAATGTTGTTAATGTGGGAGGAACATTAGGACTCAATTAGTTCACTTCTATAAGCAATGGGGGTAGCTTAAAGTTATCTGAGCAACAATCCATTCTCTGAACTACCATAGATCCCAAAGGGACAAAAGTCTCCATCACCATCATTCCACATGAAAGGGAAATAAAATAAATTGCTAGCACTCTATTGCTAATCCACGCATTGGGTATTAGTCTTCACTACAATAAGCAAAGGTTGAATTGAGAAATAGCTTTTTTTCTCTTGCATTCAAAAAGAGCATTCCTCATTGCTCTTATGACTGCTCTGTTGCTTCCTTTCAGGCTCCTTATCTCAAACTGGAATTTTCATTTAAAGAGTTGCCAAGAGCTATCAGAATGTGCTACCTGTGCCAGTCAGATCCATGGCACCTTTTCATGTTAGGAACTGGAATATTACCCTCCTCTAATTCTGGACGATACAGAAACCAGTCACCTGCAAGGTCTGCAGAGTTGCAGATTTACAAAAGATGAAACCAGTTTTGGCCTCCTTCAGATAGTAAGATAGAAACAGGAGAGAGAGAGAAATCTTCAACTCTGAAATCAATGAGGTTGTGGGAATGGTAATTAAGAACTCGCACAAGGAATCTGTATGAACATGTCTTTTTATCTGTCATCGTCACTATTGTGATCTGATGTCCTAAAGCAGGGGTCACCAACCTTTTGGACCTCAGGGACCACTAAATTCATGATTTTAAATCCTGCAGACCACTAATATGATTTTAAAATAAATAAATAAATAGTATTTAGTGCAATATAAAAATGCAAATAATTTTTCTGTGGACCACCCAAAAAATTTCAAGGACTACCAGTGGTGCACAGACCACCCATTGGNTGCCACCCCTGAGTAGAGCCCCAAAGTCCTGAGGTGTCTATAGGGATCCTTGCTGGCAGGGCTGGATTCTCCACTGAGCCTCCACTGGGTAAGGGTGTGCCTGGAGTTTTTCCCCCTTTGCCTGGGGTAGCCTGATGGCAGGCAGCCTTCTTGCAGAGCCTCTCTAAAGTCTTATGCCTCCTCCGCTCGTACTTAGAGGGCTTGGAGGGCTTGTGACGCCCCCTTCCTCTGGATCTGCCCTGGGGAAAGGTGCTTGGTTTTACATTTAGCCTTTCCTCCCCCCTCGGGCAATCACTGGGGAAGCCACTGACCTGGATGCTTGCTCTTCTGCCCCTCTGGTGGGGCTGCAGTCCATGCTTGCAGCTGCCTGGGATTCTCCTTCCTGGTAGCTGCTGGGCACCGCCATCTTGGACCACGTGGGTCCTCCCGGCTTCAAAATGGCACCGTCCGGCTTGCAAAGGGGCGCGAAATTCAAAAGTGCCTGAAGAACGGCTTGTGCTCCAGGGAGCTTGCCACGTGCCCTCTCAGCCGGATCCTCTTCCTCCTGCCTCCTCTCTGATGCCGCTGTGGCCAGGAACGGCTTCTTCGGCTTCCTCGCGATCCTCTGGCCACGTGGAGGCAGCGCGGGTGCTCCGGGGCGTTTGGAAGTCCCGGTTCATCGCTCAACCCGAGGGGAGCGACGGAGTGCTCCAGCGACTTACAAGCCTCAGTGGTTAGGGCTTGCCTGTGAGAGGCTTATGACCGGTCCTCCTGCTGCCCGGCCAAAGTCCTCACTGAGTGTCTTCAGATTCACTCAGTGGCCACGACAGCGTGCCGCCCCAGGGGGGCTAGTGGCAGTCCCAATCCTGCAGGAGGAGGCTGTGCGCGGTGCAGGGAGGCAAGGCTCGACGGGTCCAACTGAATTTTCTTTAAATCCTAGTAAATTTCTGGAGATCCAGAATGAGCGGATTGCGCCTTTGCGACTTCTCCGAGGCGGCGGATCCAGGAGGGCTCCTTGGTTCACCGAGGAACTCCGGGAGATGAAGCGCCAAAAGAGACGCCTAGAGCACCGCTGG